TGCCTCCAGCTGTTTGCTTAGAAATTCTAGGTACAATAAGGAGGCCTTCGTCTTGTGACCGTAGCGTACGTGTAGGTATGTACGGCAGGACCAAATCGGAGAGATAGGTAGGAGCAAGTCCATGTAATGCTTTGTAGGTTAGCAGTAAAACCTTGAAATCAGCCCCAGCCTTAACAGGAAGCCAGTGTAGAGAGGCTAGCACTGGAGTAATATGATCACATTTTTTGGTTATATACTGTTGTCCTTAGATGCTGACAAGGCATTCGACAGAGTTAAATGGAATTTCCTATTCCGTTTTGGAACAATTTCAGAAAATGGGTCAAAGTGATGTATACCAGTCCCAGAGCTATGGTCTCTACTGGTGGTTTAAGGCATGTGTCAAACGCATTCCATGGAGGGCCAAGTGTCTGCGGGTTTCTGCCACTCCGTTGTACTTGATTGATGAATTAAGGTCACTAATTAGTAAAGAACTCCCCTCACCTGTTTGTCTAGGTCTTAATTGAAAGGAAAAAACAAAAACCTGCAGAAAGTAGGCCCTCCATGGAACGAGTTTGACACCCCTGGTTTAAGGTCACAAGAATTCTCCCTGAGTACAGGGACCCGGCAAGGCTGCCCTCTGTCTCCCCTTCTCTTCTCGATGGTCGTAGAACCGCTGGCAGAATCCATACGTTCTAACGAGATTATCAGAGGTCCCACTATTGCAGATCAGGAACATAAGCTATGCACAGGATATTACACTGTATGTTGTATACCCAGTGAAATCCATTCCACATATCGTTGATACCATATCCCAATTTGGTAAATTCTCTGTATACAAAGCAAATCTTAGAAAATCAAATGCTTGTTTGCTAGATAGCCCGCTAACAGATGAGTTGAGCTTGGTCTGTCCTTTCTCTTGGAAACCAAATGGATTCAAATATCTGGAAATAAATGTTACCCCAACTCTAAAAAATCTGTTTAAAGAAAATTATACTCCCATCGTTAGCAAAATTAAAGAACACCTGATTCGTTGGGCCACTCTCCCAGTAACTATGATTGGAAGGATAAATATAATCAGGATGAAGAATATTTTCCAGACCTAATTATCTATTTCTTATGTTGCCCTGTTATTTACCATATTTTGTTTTTGATTCGTTGAAAAAAATAATCAACAAAAGGTTTATATGGCGTAACAAAACCCCCAGAATTAAGTACTCTACTCTGGTCAAACCTGAATCTATGGGTGGTCTGGGTCTGCCCAATTTCCAATTTGACTATTGGTCAGCCCAAACTCGCAATTTGTTGTCCTGGACTTTGGACAGACTGGAATACCTATAGATTCAGATTGAAGCACAATTTAGCCATCCTTTACTTCTGAAGAATCCTGTGTTTGTGAATCAGTTTCAACACATTCATTAGGACAGTAAGACCTTCAATACAGCATGTACAACAAATGAATGACATGGGCAGACTGTAGAAAGCACTTGGGTATTTCAAACAGGCATTCTTTACTTGCTCCTATCTCTTGTAACCCTGACTTGCCCAATGTGTTCTCAAAGGTCGATCTCTATAAGTGGCACTCGCTGGGTCTTAGGAGGTTTGTTGACTTGTTCCATGGTGGATTGAATACAATGAAGTCATTTATCGAAATCCGTACTGAATACAACATCCCTGGTACAGATTTGTTTAGGTATCTTCAAATCAGAAATGTTATCTTTATGTTTATCAAATAAGGAAAGCTGAGATTTCAGTTGTCAGAAGTTGAAGAATTAATAACCACATCTATATCTATTAAAGGAATAATTGCTAACATCTATACGGAACAAAAATAAATGCAACATGTAAGAACAAAGCTCTTAAAATGTGTTCAGACATCCTGAGACCCAGCGAGTACCCTTATTTCATATTTCATGTAAATGTTTTGTACTAGTTGATTTGAAAAGCTCTGGAAATATATCTGCATTATGAAAATACATCTGCTTTATTACTAAGTTATAATGCTAACTGTACTTTACAATTGTATCTGCTGCTGAAAATGATACCTGCTGCGATGTGATTTTGTTTTGTATGTAATGTATCTTGTGTATGTGATTCTCTTTTTCTTTATTTTCTGTTTGTCTTTATCATTGTTATCAAAAAATTATAATAAATAAATAAAATCAATGGGTATATATCATTAATTTATAAGTCCAATAATGAATGTAACAGCTGGGCATTTCCATCCATAGTACGCAAGTATAAACACCATGGGACCACGCAGCCGTCATACCGCTCAGGAAGGAGACGCGTTCTGTCTCCTAGAGATGAACATACTTTGGTGCGAAAAGTGCAAATCACTCCCAGAACAACAGCAAAGGACCTTGTGAAGATGCTGGAGGAAACAGGTACAAAAGTATCTATATCCACAGTAAAACTAGTCCTATATCGACATAACCTGAAAGGCAGCTCAGCAAGGAAGAAGCCACTGCTCCAAAACCGCCATAAAAAAGCCAGACTACGGTTTGCAACTGCACATGGGGACAAAGATCGTACTTTTTGGAGAAATGTCCTCTGGTCTGATGAAACAAAAATATAACTGTTTGGCCATAATGTCCACCGTTATGTTTGGAGGAAAAAGGGGTAGGCTTGCAAGCCGAAGAACACCATCCCAACCGTGAAGCACAGGGGTGGCAGCATCATGCTGTGGGGGTGCTTTGCTGCAGGAGGGACAGGTGCACTTCACAAAATAGATGGCATCATGAGGAAGGAAAATTATAAATAATAATAATAATAATATGCCATTTAGCAGACGCTTTTATCCAAAGCGACTTACAGTCATGCGTGCATACATTTTTGTGTATGGGTGGTCCCGGGGATCGAACCCACTACCTTGGCGTTACAAGCGCCGTGCTCTACCAACTGAGCTACAGAGGACCACAATTATGTGGATATATTGAAGCAACATCTCAAGACATCAGTCAGGAAGTTAAAGCTTGGTCACAAATGGGTCTTCCAAATGGACAATGACCCCAAACATACTTCCAAAGTTGTGGCAAAATGGCTTAAGGACAACAAAGTCAAGGTATTGGAGTGGCCATCACAAAGCCCTAACCTCAATCCTATAGAAAATTTGTGGGCAGAACTGAAAAAGTGTGTGCGAGCAAGGAGGCCTACAAACCTAACTCAGTTACACCAGCTCTGTCAGGAGGAATGGGCCAAAATTCACCCAACTTATTGTGGGAAGCTTGTGGAAGGCTACCCGAAACGTTTGACCCAAGTTAAACAATTTAAAGGCAATACTACCAAATACTAATTGAGTGTATGTAAACTTCTGACCCACTGGGAATGTGATGAAAGAAATAAAAGCTGAAATAAATCATTCTCTCTACTATTATTCTGACATTTCACATTCTTAAAATATAGTGGTGATCCTAACTGACCTAAGACAGGGAATCTTTACTACGATTAAATGTCAGGAATTGTGAAAAACTGAGTTTAAATGTATTGGGGGGGGGGTCGGGTCGGGAGACACTGTGGCCCCGTCCGACGTTACCCCCGGACAGGGCCAACCAGGCAGGATATAACCCCACCCAAGAACAGTACAGTACAGTAGTGTACAGTAAATATCAGTAAAGAACAATACAGTACAAACTTGTGAAACAAATATTTTCAAAAACAGGGTCGCATATAAAAGTGAGGGAGATTTTACCATCATTCTGTTACCAACCTTTTCATCAGCACAGTTCTTCCAGTAAATGTGTTTTTGTGAAATGTCCTGTGTAAGTTATTCAAAGTAATCCTTTTGCGTAGAGTTGTATGGTTTGTTAAACTTTGAAATCAATGTTTTTTGTCTGGCATACATTTTAAAGAGAAAAATCTGAGTCAAAGCGTAATTCCATTACTGTGGAAATGCCTAACTGCAGGTCCTAGCTTTAAGGGACCACAATGGAAAGAATCATTTACTTTATTGTGTTATCCATTTTACATTTTAGTCATTTAGCAGACGCTCTTATCCAGAGCGACTTACAGTTAGTGAGTGCATACATTTTCATACTGGCCCCCCGTGGGAAACGAACCCACAACCCTGGCGTTGCAAGCGCCATGCTCTACCAACTGAACTACAGGGGACTACCCTGTCAAGTTTTTTTTATATATGCACTGTGTGTATATGTATTTATTTTTTTACTTTCAAATAAAATCCATCAATCAATCAATGAACCTTCATAGAACCAATGGCCCAGTCCAGAAACAACCCCTTGCCCCTAGCACTTGTGTAAATATGTAAGTATTGGATAGGTTTAAACCAATATGATGGAAGCTTAACAGGGCTACAATCATATTGTTTATACCTAGCAAATCATTCAGATGTACATGAAGGGCATAAGTGTAATGGAGAAATGGAAGATCACTAATGTTCATATTTAGATTGAGTGTGACTGGCGTAATGTATAACATACTCAGAGTCTCTGTAACCCACATGATTCACATACAATACTTATCAATTATGTAGTCTCCAGAAAGACACTCAAGGTGTCGACTGAATATTTGGAATGGTTTTAAAAAAAACATTGTTCGCTGATAATTGTAATTGACGTTAGCTAATCGCTGAAGGTCTTAGTACAAGGACCGAGGACACACAGGAACACGTACACACATAGCGATGTATTACATAATATAGCTAAGGGTATATAAGCAGTGATCTTCCTAATGGAGGTTGAACAATTTTTCTGCTTTGAAGCTGATTTTTGTTCGCTTGTTGCAATCTATTTTTGCAACTAGAATTGTATTCTTATATCCACTGGGACTACTAGTGGTTATTTCGGGATAAGGCCAGTGACTCTAGTCTAACCAATAAGGTGCTGACTATTTAATTGCACAGGGTTGGAAAGGGATTGATTTTGATTACAGGAGGCAGTTTCTAGCATTCTGTTATACTGAATCAGGTATATATCTGTATTAGGCAGTTTAGGCTGTATAGGACAGTGTTGCAGATATATGTCTTATTGAAGAAAGATACTTAGCTTATATCTTATTGAGCAGGTATGGCAGTGAGGTTGTGTTCCTTTGGGTTTGTGCTGTTGGTAGTGTTTGCACATTATGCTGATGCACAGCCTAACTGGAGATTTCCTCCATACGACAACCCCCAACCCCAAGTTACAGCCTCTAAGCCTAGGCAGCCCCAGTGGCCAGAGCCCCAGTGGCCACAACAGCAGACTCCCCAGTGGCCAAAGCTGCAGAATCCCCAGTGGCCACAGCTGCAGACTCCCCAGAGACCAGAGCCCCAGGGGCCACAGCTGCAGACTCCCCAGGGACCCCAGCTGCTGACTCCCAAGACACCAGAGCCCCAGGGGCCACAACAGCAAACTCCCCAGAGGCCAGAGCCCCAGAGGCCACAACAGCAGACTCCTCAGAGACCAGAGCCCCAGGGGCCACAGCTGCAGACTCCCCACAGCCCCGAGCTCCAGTGGACACAGCCCCAGGGACCACAGCTGCAGAATCCCCAGTGGCCACAGCTGCAGAATCCCCAGAGACCAGAGCCCCAGGGGCCACAGCTGCAGAATCCCCAGAGCCCAGAGCGCCAGGGGCCACAGCTGCAGACTCCCCAGGGACCACAGCTGCTGACTCCCCAGAGACCAGAGCTGCAGAATCCCCAGAGACCAGAGCCCCAGAGGCCACAGCTGCAGACTCCCCAGAGACCAGAGCCCCAGGGGCCACAGCTGCAGACTCCCCAGGGACCCCAGCTGCTGACTCCCAAGACACCAGAGCCCCAGGGGCCACAACAGCAAACTCCCCAGAGGCCAGAGCCCCAGAGGCCACAACAGCAGACTCCTCAGAGACCAGAGCCCCAGGGGCCACAGCTGCAGACTCCCCACAGCCCCGAGCTCCAGTGGACACAGCCCCAGGGACCACAGCTGCAGAATCCCCAGTGGCCACAGCTGCAGAATCCCCAGAGACCAGAGCCCCAGGGGCCACAGCTGCAGAATCCCCAGAGCCCAGAGCGCCAGGGGCCACAGCTGCAGACTCCCCAGGGACCACAGCTGCTGACTCCCCAGAGACCAGAGCTGCAGAATCCCCAGAGACCAGAGCCCCAGAGGCCACAGCTGCAGAATCCCCAGAGACCAGAGCCCCAGGGGCCACAGCTGCAGACTCCCCAGGGGCCACAGCTACAGACTCCCCAGAGACCAGAGCTCCAGGGGCCACAGCTGCAGACTCCCCAGAGACCAGAGCCCCAGGGGCCACAGCTGCAGACTCCCCAGAGACCAGAGCTCCAGGGGCCACAGCTGCAGACTCCCCAGAGACCGGCGCCCCAGGGGCCACAGCTGCAGACTCCCCAGAGGCCACAACTGCTAACTCCCCAGAGACCAGAGACCCAAGGGCCACAGCTGCAGATTCCCCAGAGACCAGAGCCCCAGGGGCCACAGCTGCAGACTCCCCAGAGACCAGAGCCCCAGGGGGCACAGCTGCAGACTCTCCAGTGGCCAAAGCTGCAGAATCCCCAGTGCCCACAGCTGCAGACTCCCCAGAGACCAGAGCCCCAGGGGCCACAGCTGCAGACTCCCCAGGGACCACAGCTGCTGACTCCCAAGACACCAGAGCCCCAGGGGCCACAACAGCAAACTCCCCAGAGGCCACAACAGCAGACTCCTCAGAGACCAGAGCCCCAGGGGCCACAGCTGCAGACTCCCCACAGCCCCGAGCTCCAGTGGACACAGCCCCAGGGACCACAGCTGCAGAATCCCCAGTGGCCACAGCTGCAGAATCCCCAGAGACCAGAGCCCCAGGGACCACAGCTGCAGAATCCCCAGTGGCCACAGCTGCAGAATCCCCAGAGACCAGAGCCCCAGGGGGCACAGCTGCAGAATCCCCAGAGCCCAGAGCGCCAGGGGCCACAGCTGCAGACTCCCCAGGGACCACAGCTGCTGACTCCCCAGAGACCAGAGCTGCAGAATCCCCAGAGACCAGAGCCCCAGGGGCCACAGCTGCAGAATCCCCAGAGACCAGAGCCCCAGGGGCCACAGCTGCAGACTCCCCAGAGACCAGAGCCCCAGGGGCCAAAGCTGCAGACTCCCCAGAGACCAGAGCCCCAGGGGCCACAGCTGCAGACTCCCCAGAGACCAGAGCCCCAGGGGCCACAGCTGCAGACTCCCCAGAGACCAGAGCCCCAGGGGCCACAGCTGCAGACTCCCCAGAGACCAGAGCTCCAGGGGCCACAGCTGCAGACTCCCCAGAGACCGGCGCCCCAGGGGCCACAGCTGCAGACTCCCCACAGGCCACAACTGCTAACTCCCCAGAGACCAGAGACCCAAGGGCCACAGCTGCAGACTCCCCAGAGACCGGCGCCCCAGGGGCCACAGCTGCTGACTCCCCAGAGGCCAGCAGTAACTAAAACTCCAGATCGGCGATGCCAAGTAGAGGCTAAGGATACAGTGCAATGTGGAACGCCTAAAATTACTCCTGCTCAATGTGAGGCTATCGACTGCTGCTTCAATGGACAGCAGTGTTACTATGGGAAGGCAGGTGAGCGTCTGATAGAGCTTCTTCTTCCTTGTAATGCTCTGTATTTGAACAAAACATTTACTTTTTCTCTCTTTCCCCAGTGACTGTGCAGTGTACCATGGATGCTCAGTTTGTTGTGGTGGTGGCCAGGGATGCCACTTGGCCCAAAATAGACATTGATACCATCATTCTGCTGGGGGGAAACAACGGCCCCTGCAGTCCTGTTGGCATCACTTCAGCCTTTGCCATATACCAGTTCCCTATCACTGCCTGTGGCACCACTCTGAAGGTGAGTAGAGAGAGAGAATATTAATTGTGTACACTGGTTCAGTATTAAAGGCCCAGCGTATTCAGAAACGTGATTTTCCTGTGTTTTATAAATATTTCCACACTATGAGAATTGAATAATAGTGTGTAATGACCTTTTAGTGTATGAGTTGTTTGAAAAGACCGCCTGAAATTTCAGCCTGTTTTGGTGGGATGGAGTTTTGGCCTGCCTGGTAACATCACCAGATAGTAAATTAGTTAATAGACCAATAAGAAAGAAAGTTCCAAATCTCTCTGCCAATAACAGCTCGTTTTCAGTTTTCCCCTCCCCACTCAGACCACTCCCAGACAGTCCTAGCAAAATTCTTGCTTGAGACGCTGCTCTTTGCTAAGAAGCTATTTTTGTTTCTTTTTGACCATTTTAATTTAAACCAATCACAGTAAGGTACTTCATTGTTACCCAGAAATTATTTGAAAGAGCTAAAAATGTTGGCCGTTTAAAGGGCAATTCCTCCACTTTTCAACCCCATTTTCATAATCTCCAGCACCAGTGTCTATATATGTGAAAACAGAGCGTTTCTATGATCTGTGGTTAAAAAGATAAGAAGAGCGAGCCTTAAAAAATGCTTCTCTGTGACATCACAAGGTAGGATTAAAAGTAAAAAAACAGTGATTTTCAAATCCTGCATCGAGTTTCTAGCCCAAGCAGGGCTCTGATCTCCCAAATGATAATTGTTGTAATGATAAGGCTTCGCTGTACCTTTGTTTCCATGTGCAGATTCGATAGAGTCATGGTTGCACCATTACTACAGCAAAAATTGCTTGTTTCTAGCCCAACCAGGGCAAAAGATCTGACCCATATTACCGGCACCATTTTTATCTTCCTGTAGCGGATCGCCAGGACTGCATTTTATATTCATAAACCATGTCATGTGCTGTTCTAAAACTACTCGCCCGTTGTTAACCATTTATTTACACTTTGTTCAGTCATGTTACCTCATTGGCTAGCTAGCTAACTTTACCGGTATATCCAAACATTTGGGGACACAGACAGAAAGGAAAAGGGATATCTTCTTCAGGACATCAATGATCATAGCAATGAATGAATGACAGAGCTCTTTCATGTCATCATCATAAACCTGAACCTTTTTAAGGAGACAGTGTACAATTTTCAATGTAATGCATCTCAATCAGAAAATAGTGCTTTTACAAAAAAAAACATATTTTAACTTTATTTTAACAGGGAAGACATATTGAGACCTAGGTCTCTTTTACAAATGTGCCCTGTATGAACAACATTAATTTACACATTATACCTAAACTATATATATCAGTGGAGGCTGCTGAGGGGAGGACGGCTCATAATAATGGCTGGAACGTAGCAAATGGAATGGCATTAAACACATGGAAACAACGGCTCCGCTGCGAAGTGATAGGTCACACAAGCTCACAGAACGGGACTGCGGAGTGCTGAAGCGCATAGCGCGTAAAACTGCCTCTGGAAGCAACATCAGCACAAGAACTGTTCATCGAGAGCTTCATGAAATGGGTTTCCATGGCAGCTGCACACAAACCTAAGATCACCATGCGCAATGCCAAGCATCGGCTGGAGTGGTGTAAAGTTCTCTGCCATTGGACTCTGAAGCAGTGGAAACGCATTCTCTGGAGTGATGAATCACGCTTCACCATCTGACAGTCAGACGGATTAATCTGGGTTTAGCGGATGCCAGGAGAACGCTACCTGCCCAAATGCATAGTGCCAACTGTAAAGTTTGGTGGCGGAGGAATAATGGTCTGGGGCTGTTTTATATATATATATATATATATATATAAATATTTATTATAATACAAAAACAGTCATGGGAAGCACAAATAAAACTTCTCAAATCACCCAGAAAAACAGTTACAGTGAGGGGAAAAAGTACTTGATCCCCTGCTGATTTTGTAAGTTTGCCCACTGACAAAGACATGTTCAGTCTATAATTTTAATGGTAGGTTTATTTGAACAGTGAGAGACAGAATAACAACAACAAAATCCAGAAAAATGCATGTTAAAAATGTTATCAATTGATTTGCATTTTAATGAGGGAAATAAGTATTTGACCCCTCTGGAAAACATGACTTAGTACTTGGTGGCAAAACCCTTGTTGGCAATCACAGAGGTCAGATGTTTCTTGTAGTTGGCCACCAGGTTTGCACACATCTCAGGAGGGATTTTGTCCCACTCCTCTTTGCAGATCTTCTCCAAGTCATTAAGGTTTCGAGGCTGACGTTTGGCAACTCGAACCTTCAGCTCCCTCCACAGATTTTCTATGGGATTAAGGTCTGGAGACTGGCTAGGCCACTCCAGGACCTTAATGTGCTTCTTCTTGAGCCACTCCTTTGTTGCCTTGGCCGTGTGTTTTGGGTCATTGTCATGCTGGAATACCCATCCACGACCCATTTTCAATGCCCTGGCTGAGGGAAGGAGGTTCTCACCCAAGATTTGACGGTAAATGGCCCCGTCCATCGTCCCTTTGATGCAGTGAAGTTGTCCTGTACCCTTGGCAGAAAAACACCCCCAAAGCATAATGTTTCCACCTCCATGTTTGACGGTGGGGATGGTGTTCTTGGGGTCATAGGCAGCATTCCTCCTCTTCCAAACACGGCGAGTTGAGTTGATGCCAAAGAGCTCCATTTTGGTCTCATCTGACCACAACACTTTCACCCAGTTCTCCTCTGAATCATTCAGATGTTCAATGGCAAACTTCAGACGGGCCTGTATATGTGCTTTCTTGAGCAGGGGGACCTTGTGGGCATTGCAGGATTTCAGTCCTTCACGGCGTAGTGTGTTACCAATTGTTTTCTTGGTGACTATGGTCCCAGCTGCCTTGAGATCATTGACAAGATCCTCCCGTGTAATTCTGGGCTGATTCCTCAACGTTCTCATGATCATTGCAACTCCACGAGGTGAGATCTTGCATGGAGCCCCAGACCGAGGGAGATTGACAGTTATTTTGTGTTTCTTCCATTTGCCAATAATCGCACCAACTGTTGTCACCTTCTCACCAAGCTGCTTGGCGATGGTCTTGTAGCCCATTCCAGCCTTGTGTAGGTCCAAAATCTTGTCCCTGACATCCTTGGAGAGCTCTTTGGTCTTGGCCATGGTGGAGAGTTTGGAATCTGATTGATTGATTGCTTCTGTGGACAGGTCTTTTATACAGGTAACAAACTGAGATTAGGAGCACTCCCTTTAAGAGTGTGCTCCTAATCTCAGCTCGTTACCTGTATAAAAGACACCTGGGAGCCAGAAATCTTTCTGATTGAGAGGGGGTCAAATACTTATTTCCCTCATTAAAATGCAAATCAATTTATAACATCTTTGACATGCATTTTTCTGGATTTTTTGGTTGTCATTCTGTCTCTCACTGTTCAAATAAACCTACCATTAATATTATAGACTGATCATTTCTTTGTCAGTGGGCAAACGTACAAAATCAGCAGGGGATCAAATACTTTTTTCCCTCACTGTACATTCATCCACAAATAAGTCCCCAATCAATACTTTAAATTGCCCGAACGGCACCAGAACATCAAGAAATGTATTTAGAATTTTGTGCATTAAAACTAAAAGCAGATTTATCTACCTTGGTGGAGACCCTAGGAACCTCAAAAGTTAACCAATCCTGTGAACAGGTTAGGCAACTCAGGTGTCTATACTTCAACAGCAAAGTTAGATAAGACGGAAGTTTATGAAGTAGGGCCTTGTAAACAAAAAGGGAGTAATGTAGAGATATATGGGTCTTTAGCGAAGTCCAGCCAACCTTTTGATACGGGATGCAGTGATGAGTATCAAAACTGTCACCTGTAACAAAACAAAGGGCACTATGGTAGATGGCATCCAAAGGTTTAAGAGAAGTAGCAGCTGCACTTAAAAAAAATTATATCACCATAATCAAGAACAGATAAAAAGGTTGACTGAATAATCTGGTTCCTACTGCTTAGAGAAAGGCTCAATCTGTTTCTGTAGAAAAATACAACTTTAAATCTTAGCTTCTTAACCAGCTCATCTATATGTTTTTTAAACGTCAAATCCATATCAATCCAAAGACCTAAGTATTTATATGCGGGGACACGTTCGATTGGAGAACCATCTAATGAGTGAACATGTAGTTCATCTGAAACATTCTTCCAAGAGTTTGAAAACAACATGTATTTCATTTTGCCCATATTAACCACAAGTTTTAAATCAGCAAGGGATTCCTGCATAGCTATAAAATCTGACTGTAGTTTTGACACATCCAGATTAACAGTTGCGGCAATAGCCTACATAATAGTATCATCCACATATAGATTGTTTACAATTTTTAACAGATTGACCAATGGTGTTTATATAAATGACTTTGTAATTTCAATGACAGGTATTCGTATCAATATTTTAGATTTTATAATAAACTAATATCTTTACAGTATTATATATTAGTTTCTAGGGCACGTGTTTCAAAAGTAGCTAGAATTCATGTAGGCCCAATATGAGCTGTATCTCAATTTTTAAAAATCTTATTTTTTGGTGCTCCTAAATTTCATGTGGTGCTCCTAAATTTTTTAAGTTGGGAGCGCCAGTGCTATCAATGAAAATATGTCATTTAGAGCCCTTTTCTTGCTCCCCACGTCACCACGAATCTCATAGTGTTTGAAAATCACTGTTTTTAAAATGTTTTAAGTTTTTGATGATACCAAACTTAGAAATGTACCATTTTCACATATGTTGACACTGGTATTGTGCTGGAGATCCTGAAAATGAGGTTGAAAAGTGGTGGAGTTGCCCTTTAACTGTGGACTCTCCCCTGCAGGAGGAAAATGGATATATGGTTTATGAGAACAGGATGGCGTCTTCCTATGAAGTGGGGATCGTACCCCGAGGCGCCATCACCAGAGACAGCCAATTTGAGTGAGTCTTCTATCTGTAAGATTGAATTTACTTTATTGATTCCCCAGAGCTAGTTTCCTGCACCCAGATTTAGCCCATAAAGTGTTGCTATTTTACATTTCAGTCATTTAGCAGATACTCTTATCCAGAGCGACTTACAGTTAGTGAGTGCATACATTTTTTTATACTGGCCCCCCGTGGGAATCGAACCCACAACCCTGGCGTTGCAAACGCCATGCTCTACCTATGCTTCAAGATCCTACTGTATCAGTCACTACCATTGTCTCCCTCTCTAGGCTGCTGTTCCAGTGTATGTACTCTGCCACTGCGGTGAAGGCTCTGGTTATTGAGGTGAACACTGTTCCTGCACCCGCTCCGGTTGCTGTTCTGGGACCGCTCAGAGTGGAACTCAGACTGGCCAAAGGAAGATGTGACACCAATGCATGTAAAGATGGTAAGGTGCATTTCATTTCAGGCTTGTTCTGTGTACATTTGTAGAACTTCAAACACATCTATTGTTTATATAATTGACTTTTACATGTGTTTTTTTCAATCCTGTCTGACTTCCAGAGTCCAGAGCCTTCACATCGTTTTACACTGCGGAAGACTACCCTCTCACTAAAGTCCTGAGGCAACCTGTGTACGTTGAGGTGCGCATCCTGGAGAGGAAGGATCCCAACCTGGTCCTGATGCTGGAGCACTGCTGGACCACATCTGACCCCAGCCCTGTCAGCATGCCCCAGTGGGACCTCCTCATTGAAAAGTGAGTAACTACAGTACTAATCCACCTGATTTCTGTGCTTGCTGCTCCCTGATTATGAATGTATTTTGAACAATATGTTTGACATTTCTTCATTATGTGACATCAGAAGGCATCATGTACCACTATGTACACTGAATAAAAATGTGAACGCAACATGTAAAGTGTTGGTCCCATGTTTCATGAGTTTAAATAAAAGATCCCAGAAATCTTCCATACGCATCTTTTTTTCTTTTTTTTTTACATCCCTGTTAGAGACCATTTCTCCTTTGCCAAGATAATACATCCACCTGACAGGTGTGGCATATCAAGAAGCTGATTAAACAGCATGATCATTACACAGGTGCACCTTGTGCTGGGGGAAATAAAAGGCCACTCTAAAATGTGCAGTTTTGTCACACAACACAATGCCACAGATGTCTAAAGTTTTGAGGGAGCATGCAATTGACATGCTGACTGCAGGAATGTCCACCAGAGCTGTTACCAGAGAATTTAATGTTCATTTCTCTACCATAAGCCATAATGTTGTTTTAGAGAATTTGGCAGTACGTCCAACCGGCCTCACAACCGCAGACCACGTGTAACCATGCCAGCCCAGGACCTCCACATCCAGCTTCTTCACCTTCGGGATCATCTGAGACCAGCCAGCCGGACAGCTGATAAAACTGTGGGTTTGCAACACCGAAGGTATTCTGCACAAACTGTCAGAAACCGTCTCAGGGAAGCTCATCTGCGTGCTCATCGTCCTCACCAGGGTCTTGACCTGACTGCAGTTCGACGTTGTAACCAACTTTAGTGGGCAAATGCTCACCTTTGATGGCCACTGGCATGCTGGAGAAGTGTGCTCTTCACGGATGAATCCCGGTTTCAACTGTACCGGGCAGATGGCGTCGTGTGGGCGAGCGATTTGCTGATTTTAACGTTGTGAACAGAGTACCCCATGGTGGCGGTGGGGTTATGGTATGGGCAGGCATAAGCTACGGACAACAAACACAATTGCATTTTATCGATGACAATTTGAATGCACAGAGATACAGTGACGAGATGAGATCCTGAGGCCCATTGTCGTGCCATTCATCCGTCGTCATCACCTCATGTTTCAGCATGATATGGCACAGCCCCATGTGGCAAGGATCTGTCCACAATTCCTGGAAGCTGAAAATGTCCCAGTTCTTCCATGGCCTGCATACTCACAAGACATGTCACCCATTAAGCATGTTTGGGATGCCCTGGATCGACGTGTATGACAGCGTGTTCCAGTTCCCACCAATATACTGTATATAGCAAGTTGGCACAGCCAATGAAAAGGAGTGGGACAACATTCCACAGGCCACAATCAACAGCCTGATCAACTCTATGCGAAGGAGATGTGTCGCGCTGCATGAGGCAAATGGTGGTCACACCAGATACTGACTGGTTTTCTGATCCCCGCCCTACCTTTTTTTTAAAGGTATCTGTGACAAACAGATGCATATCTGTATTCCCAGTCATGTGAAATCCATAGATTAGGGCCTAATGAATTTATTTCAATTGACTGATTTCTTTATATGAACTGTAACTCAGTAAAATCTTTGAAATTGTTGCATAATGCGTTTATATTTTAGTGTATTTTGAATTGAGGCTTTGCAACATAATTTTTTTTACATTTTAGTCATTTAGCAGACGCTCTTATCTAGTGAGCGCATAATTTTATTTTATTTTTTCATACTGGTTCCCCGTGGGTAACGAACACACAACCCTGGCGTTGCAAACGTCATGCTCTACCAACTGAGCTACACGGGACATGAAGTTTTTATTACTCCTCTCTCTTTCTCCAGATGTTCCTACCAGAATGATAAGTACCAGACCACCATGGTCCCCGTGGAACTCTCCTCTGGCCTTCTGTACCCCAGCCACCACAAACGCTTCACCCTTAAGATGTTCACCTTTGTGGATCACACTCGGGCTCCCCGCAAAGACACGGTAATTTGCTACCTTTATTCATACCTGTTCGATATAATAGACACTACTTGATATACTATTGGCTTTTCAGTAACTTACTTTATGCCGTACTCTCTTGCCAGATTTTCATCCACTGTAGGGTATCTTTGTGCTACCCTACTCCAGGTGACTCCTGTGAACCAAAATGCAACAGACAAAGTGGGTAGTATTCTCCCTTCTTTACAAAGGCCTTGCTTGGACACCATAGCCCATATTTAAAGTGTCTCAGAGTATGAGTGCTGATCTAGGATCAGATCCTTCCTGTCTATAATCTTAATCATTATCATGATTTAAAAGACAGCTGATTCTAAATCAACACTCCTGTGCTCAGATGCTTTGTGATTGTGAATATGACCCAGGTTCTGTTCTTAACCGTTTCTGTTGGGTTTTTCAGGAAGAGATGTTGCTGCTGCTGCTTGGAGGAAGACCAGGCAGACTGCTGTGGTCTCCAGTGGAGAAGTGGTCCTGGTTGACAAAAAGCCTGCCTACCCTTCAAACGACTAATACTAGCTACAGTTTGTAGCTGGGTATGAAATGATGTATTCCATACTTCCATACCCGTTACAGCGGAGCTAGTGAAAAGCACTGGCAGTACTTTTTCTATGAACCTTTACTTGGCGATATTTTCTTCGTTCTTGTCTCTTATAAACGTCCATGTCCAGTTGCAGGAGGTACTCCAAAAACCAGAGAATATTTAGAACGATATTAAACTCACTTTTTGCACCGAGTGAGAAGTTCCCTCGCCTTGTATTTCCCAACATCTTTGCAGGAACTACTCGTTTCTATGCGACACGGCGTCACACCGTGCGACCAAAACAAAGATCTACACACATGCAAGCGGCATTTCTCACTCGATACAAACAGTGGATTTAATACTTTAAGGATATTTTTGTTGTTGTTCCGTCTGCAACTGGACACGGAAGTTTATAAGACACTGGAACCTTCCGAATCGAGAATGAATAAAGTATCGCAAAGTAACGGTTAGTCTAAAATATCCTGATTATGGCTAAACAGCAGTTTAGGCACAACCTCAGACACAAGCTTTAACTATGCCGCTGAGTTTCGTGTTTACATGGCTATAATAAAACATGGGTTCCTGATTTCGCTACGTATTTATTGTTTCTAATAAACAGTTGTACCACAAAGTTGGCAATTCATAAACATTTTCCTTTTTACTTATTTGTGCATAGTAAAACCTACTCTCTCGCCACAGAAATGTGGATATAGGATCTGTAAATCTTGTTGAGTTTGTTTTGTGAAGGCATTGTCTAATTCCTGGAACACGTTGATAGCAGTGGTCAAGGTTGTGTAGAGGTATCATTCTATGACAGGCCTCTACAACCCTGTTCCTGGAGAGCCACCCTCCTGTAGGTTTTTGCTCCAACCCCAATCTAGCGCACCTGATTATCATAATTAGCTGCTCGATAAACTGAATCAGGTTAGTTGAAACTGGGGTTGTAGTGAAAACCTACAGGAGTGTTGCTCTCTAGGAACAGGGATGTAGTGAAAACCTACAGGAGGATAGCTCTCCAGGAACAGGGTTGTAGTGAAAACCTACAGGAGGGTAGGTCTCCAGGAACTGGGTTGGAGAGCCCTGTTCAAGGCCAAAACACAGAACAGTAGTTTTACTACACTGGACAAAAAATATAAACGCAACAATTTCAAAGATTTTACTGAGTTACAGTTCATATAAGGAAATCAGTCAATTGAAATAAATTAATTAGGCCCTAATCTATGGATTTCACATGACTGGGCAAGGACGCAGCCTTGGGAGCCAGGTCCACCCACTGGGGAGCCAGGACCAGCCAATCAGAATGAGTTTTTCCCCACAAAAGGGCTTTATTACAGACAGAAATACTACTCAGCACCACCTCAGACGAACCCGCAGGTGAAGAAGCCGGGTGTGGAGGTCTTGGGCTGGTGTGGTCTGAAATGAACATTCAATTCTCTGGCAACAGCTCTGGTGGACATTCCTGCAGTCAGCATGCCAATTGTGTGCGCCCTCAAAACTTGACATCTGTGGCAAAACTGCATATGTGGCCTTTTTTTGTCCCCAGCACAAGGTGCACCTGTGTAATGATCATGCTGTTTAATCAGCTTCTTGATATGCCACAACTGTCAGGTGGATGAATTATCTTGGCAAAGGAGAAATGCTCACTAACAGTGTTAAATGCTTTTTGTGCTTATGGAAAATGTCTGTGATCTTTTATTTCAGCTCATGAAACCAACACTTTACATGTTGCGTTTATATTTTTGTTCAGTATATATGGGCAATTCCATGGTAAGAGAGTGACAGAGACTGTTTTTTTTTTCACCTTAAAATGTAGGCTGTCAAACAAACCAATGATTGCAAAGTTAAACAATACAACTCTATGCACAAAGGTTTGGTAACAGAATGATCGTTTTTGCTGTTTGCCATAATTCTGTTAACAAACCTTGCATCTTCACTGTTCTTAAAGTAAATGTATTTTTGTCAAATTCAGTAGAAATTGTTAAAAGTAGTCCTTGTACATAGTTATGGTTTGTTTAACTTTGCAAATTTGTTTGAGTCTCTGTAGCTAGGTTTCCATCCAATTGGCGACCGATTTTCATGCGAATACTCTAGAATCCGCATAAAGAAAATATGCGCATTTTCCCACCAGTGGTGTTTCCACCAAATTGAGTTTTTGCGGATACAAATCAGTGCGTGATGACAGTGCACTGCCCACAACGTACTTTTTCGCTTACATTTTCATGTACCGAATACAAATCTAAAGTTCAATATGTTTCCATCGCATTTTTAACTCTACTGATGGTTTCGTCACAAACTGTTGAGTTAAATAGCAACTATGCCTACTCTGGTGTTGCCTGGCACCTGCGCTCTCGCCAACAGCTCGCAGATACAGTGCGGGTAGACTAGTCTACATTATATTATTATGGGTAAGAGCGAGAATATTTGTATTTGCCACGGCAGCCAAGCATCGATCATGTCACTAGAATAATAGCCTCGATATTTATTGGAAATTAGCATCAAGCTCATCACCTCGCACATTCGCCACCCTGTGAAGTTCATAAATTATTTCATCTGTAGCCTAATAAACTGTATGCTTTTCCGAGTCCATCCCCCTAGTCGTGACTGTCCATGCACCATGTAATTCATCCGCATGAATGGTTGGATGGAAACATAGTTAGTGATCAATACTATTATCCAAGTGAGCATATTGCCGCAAAGAATAATTGGGGAGTTGGGAGATATTCCAGTGTAACAGAAGGCCTCAGGTAGAAATGTAATCATCCTCGAGCTCTTACTCTGGCCCTATTCATAATGCACCCCTTTCCCACCTTGGAGGTAATCACTGACCTAATATTTTACATTTCAGTCATTTAGCAGATACTCTTATCCAGAGCGACTTACAGTTAGTGAGTGCATACATTTTCATACTGGCCCCCCGTGGGAAACGAACCCACAACCCTGGCGTTGCAAACGCCATGCTCTACCAACTGAGCTAGACGGGACTATATGTCCTGCACTAATATGTTTCTGCACTTACCATGCCTTCAATCATTGATATATTACAGGGACTGATACATAAAAGTCTTTGAAGTGGAGCATAGCTATAGATTGTTCTGCCCTGTACCCACTGAATAAACGGAGGGTTCAGTAGGTTGCAGTTGCAACCCATATGCAACATAAAATATTGCTGATAGAAATACAATGGAATTGACACCATTTTTTATACTATATAGACAAGTCTGTTCTACATAATGCATTTCTATGAACGCTCTGTAAAGTTGAGCCCTCCTCAATAAGCCCCAGGTGTACTTGATTTTGTCTGCAGGGAGGTGGCCAATGGTAACTAAATGACAATCAACCTCACATTCCTCAGCACCTGTTTGGTTAGTCAGGTCTGGACCAGATTCAAGCTGATTGCTGAAGGGGTTTGTCTCGATCAGACAAAGAGGCTATAAAATGGGTTGACAGACTACAGCAGTATTGAGAAGAATAGTGCAGATGTATTTGCAGTGATGGGTTTCAGGCAAGTATATGCAGGGCTTCTGTTGGTTGTGGCCTTTAGCTGTGTTAGTGATGCTTGGGACTCCAGGCGGATATCAGGATTTCTGCATGATGAAGTCCCAGCCAGGTTTGACGCTCAGAAGCCAGTGCAAGAAGAGCCTGTAAGACAGGACCTTAGCAAGGCTGTTGAAGAGCCTGAGAGCTCACAGACATTTGCGACGTCTCTGACTTGGACCTATGCTGAAGTTGAAAAGCCTGAGCACAAGCCCACTGTGTTTGAGTGGCCGCAGCAGGTGGTGGCCAACAGGGTGGTGGTTCGGTGTGGGGAGAGTGTGGTCCGTGTGGAGGTGAAGCAGGACCTACTTGGCCGGCTCATCCAGCCAGAGCGTATCACTCTAGGAGGCTGTGCTGCCACTGAGGAGGATGTTGAAGCTCATGTGCTCACCTTTGAATCAGCGCTGGATGGCTGTGGCAGTGAGCTGACGGTATGTCACTTCTGCTGTTCAACTTCCTGAAGAATGGGAATCGTTATTCTTGTCTGAGACATAATTTGTGATCCTGTTCCTAGATGACAGAGGATGTGCTGATCTACACCTTCACTCTTGTCCATGAGCCAAAACCTCTTGCTAACACTTCTATAGTGAAGACCAGTGCAGCTATGGTTGATATTGAGTGCCACTACTTGAGGTAACTATTGTTGCCATTCTTCACTTTGACAACACCTATAATTCTGAGGTTTGAGTAATGCCATATTCCATGTTTTTTTTTTCTAGGAATCACGATGTGAGCAGCAATGCCCTGAAGCCGACCTGGATCCCCTACACCTCCAACATGGTGGCAGAGGAGCTCCTCTACTTCTCCCTGAGGTTAATGACTGGTGGGTAAACCTGACTGGAAGCCTCTTCCTCTGTGTAAACCACCACTAACATGCTACTCGTCTTTCCAGCTGACTGGCAGTTTGAGAGGCCCTCCAACCATTACTATCTTGGTGACATCATCAACATGGAAGCTTCGGTCATGCCCTACCACCACGTTCCCCTCCGTATCTTTGTGGACTTCTGTGTCGCCACCTTGGCGCCTGATGTCAACACTGTCCCTAGATACTCTTTCATTGAGAACCATGGGTGAGTTTATTTATATTACCTTAAATGTGACCCCTGAAGCCTAACGTTGACCCTTGGTCTCCTCAGATGTCTGGTTGATGCCAAGCTGACTGGCTCCAGCTCCCAGTTCCTGTCCAGATCCAAGGATGACAAGATCCAGTTTCAGCTGGAGTCCTTCAGGTTCCAACCACAGAATGATTCCCAACAGCTCTACATAACATGTCATCTGAAAGCAACTGCAGCCTCTTCCCCCATTGATGCTGAGAACAAGGCCTGCTCCTTCACAGATGGGTATGTATAAACTAAGTTCAGATCAAATAATTGTATTTGTCACATACACGTGTTTAGCAGTTGTTATTGCGGATGTAGCGAAATGCTTGTGCTTCTAGCTCCGACAGTGCAGTAATATCTAACAATTTCACAACATATACATACATCTAGTAAGGAATGGAATATATACATATATGGACAAGCAGTGGCATGGACTAAGATATAGAATCCAGTATATACATATGAGATGAGTAGTGCAGGATATGTAAACATTAAAGTGGCCAGTGATTTCAATAGGCAGCAGCCTCTAAGGTGCTAGTGATGGCTATTTAACAGTCATGATGGCCTTGAGATAGAAGCTGTTTTTCAGCCTCTCGGTCCCAGCTTTGATGCACCTGTACTGACCTCGCCTTCTGGATGATAGCGGGGTGAACAGGCAGTCGCTTGGGTGGTTGTCCTTGATCTTTTTGGCCTTCCTGTGACATCGGGTGCTGTGTCTTGGAGGGCGGGTAGTTTGCCCCGGTAATGCGTTCGGCAGACCGCACCACCCTCTGGAGAGCCCTGTGGTTGCAGGCGGTGCAGTTGCCGTACCAGGCGGTGATACAGCCCGACAGGATGCTCAATTGTGCAGCTGTAAAAGTTTGTGGGATTTAGGTGCCAAACCAAATTACTTCAGCCTCCTGAGGTTGAAGAGGGGCTATTGCGCCTTCACCACACTATCTGTGTGGGTGGACCACTTCAGTTTGTCAGTGACGTGTACGCCAAGGAACTTGAAGCGTTCCACCTTCTCCACTGCGGTCCTGTGGATGGGGGGGTGCACCCTCTGCTGTTTCTTGAAGTCCACGATCATCTCCTTTGTTGACGTTGAGTGAGCGGTTATTTTCCTGGCACCGCACTCCCAGAGCCCTCACCACCTCCCTGTAGGCGGTCTTGTCATTGTTGGTAATCAAGCCTACTACTGTTGTGTTGTCTGCAAACTTGATTGAGTTGGAGGCGTGCTTGGCCACGCAGTCATAGGTGAACAGGGAGTACAGGAGGGGGCTGAGCACGCACCCTTGTGGGGCCCCAGTGTTGAGGATCAGCGAAGTGGAGATGTTTCCTACCTTCACCACCTAGGGGTGGCCTGTCAGGAACTCCAGGACCCAGTTGCACAGGGCAGGGCTCAGACCCAGGGCCTCTAGTTTAATGGTGAGCTTGGAGGGTACTGTGGTGTTGAATGCTGAGGTGTGGGTATATTACCTTCATTACATGCTGCTATATAAACAAACCATATTTATCTGTAGGTGGAAGGCTGCAGGTGGGGATGACCAGGTTTGTGGCTGCTGTGACTCCAGCTGTGCTGTGAGCAAGGCTAATGATCTGGACAGTGATTCAGGTAGGTGTAAAAGCCAGAGCTTTATCTTATCGCGCTGTTTTAGCCCGTCACTTGTAATGTGTGTGTTCTACTCTCCTCAGATTTTCAGTGGGAAGGCGACGCTACCCTGGGCCCTGTAATTGTCTAAGAGTAATATTACAGTAGTCTTTATACATTTGTTTTGGGGAAATAAACTCTTAAAATGCATTGTTAATGTCAGACTGGATTTATTTACAATATAACCTTCAATGTCTGCCAGGATTAATTCAGGAGGGCGCAACGTTATCAAACATTCAGATTGGACAATTATGTATAGTGGATTATTCCTTCAGAAATGTAAACGTTGCAACTCTACTGACTTGGCCTGAGTTGTCTGTATTGACTAGATCCTCACATATTTGGGCAACTGAACATTGGATGTGGTGAATTATTAGGCTCCATTGGCTAATCTTCCTGGGGTCCAACGCAGCAGCTTGGCCTCATAAACCAGATGTATCATAGTAAACACATTAGTGTGGTTGCATAACAATGGCAAAAAGCGGGTGGATGGGTATGTGTAACTCAATTGTCTAGCAACCCAAAGGTTGTTTTAATATCATCACAGCTGTTTGGCTACTTCGCAACTAAACTCGGCAAAACAAACGTCCCTCTTTCAGGACACTGTCTTTCAAAGATTAATTTGTAAAAATCCAAATAACTTCACAGATCATTGAAAAAAATTTAAACACCGTTTCCCATGCGTGTTCGATGAACCAAAAACAATTAATGAACATGCACCTGTGGAATGGTCGTTAAGACACTAACGTCTTAGACGGTAGGCAATTAAGGTCACAGTTATGAAAGCGTAGGACACTAAAGAGGCCTTTACTGACTCTGGGAAAAACACCAAAAGAAAGCTGCCTAGGGTCCCTGCTCATCTGTGTGAACGTGCCTTAGGCATGCTGCAGGGAGGCATGAGGACTGCAGATGTGGCCAGGGCAATAAATTGAAATGTCCGTACTGTGAGATGCCTAAGACAGCGCTACAGGGAGACATGACCGACAGCTGATCGTCCTCGCAGTGGCAGGCCACATGTAACACCTGCACAGGATCGGTACATCCGAACATCACACCTGCGGTACAAGAGGCAACAACTGCCCGAGTTACACCAGGAACGCACAATCCCTCCATCAGTGCTGAGAGGGGCTGGACTGAGGGCTTGTAGGCCTGTTGTAAGGCAGGTCCTCACCAGACATCACTGGCAACAACGTTGCATATGGGCACAAATCCACCGTCGCTGGACCAGACAGGACTGGCAAAAGGTGCTCTTCACTGACAAGTCGGTGTTTTCTCACCAGGGGTGATGGTCAGATTTGCGTTTATCAGCGACTGAATGAGCGTTAGAGGCCTGTACTCTGGAGCGAGGTGGAGGGTCAGTCAAGGTCTGGGGCGGTGTCACCGCATCATCAGCCTGAGCTTGTCACTGCAGGTAATCTCCTCGCTTTGTGTTACAGGGAAGACATTGTCCCTCGTGGTACCCTTAATGCAGGCTCATCTGGATCTCAACCTGTTGGATTGGAGGGCTAGGGCCATTCCGCCCCCCCCAGAAATGTCTGGGTACTTGCCGGTGCCTTGGAAGAGTGGGGTAACTTCTCACAGCAATAACTGGCAAATCTGGTGCAGTCCATGAGGAGATGCACTGCAGTACTGATTGCAGCTGGTGGCCACACCAGATACTGACTGTTCTGATTTTTGCTGAAAATAAACGCAGTTGACAGTGAGGGGACGTTTCTTTTTTTGAGTTGACTTAGCATGTTGGTTAACTAACCCAACTGCTTAGCTAATGTTAGCATTAGCCACGTAGCTCATGTTGGAATTCATAATATGCGTATTGCAAATTAAAGTTTGGTATAAAATGGCTGGACATCCACAAACTAATACATACGTATTGTACAAACTGAAGACCGACCGATTTTGTCTAACCCGGCGTTCAGATCAAAATATTTGTCACGACTGATACAATAGGTGAGGCCTTTCCCAACAATGCAGAGTTAAAGGAAATAGTAACACAATAAAATAACAAGACTATATACAGGTACCGAGTCAATGTGCAGGGCTACGAAGGTAGGCTAGTTGGGGTAAAAGTGACTATCCTGATTGCATGAACAGAGTAGCAGCAGCAAATGATAGTGTGGGTAGAGTTCAGTGAGTGTGCAAATAGTGTAGCCATTTGAGTAACTGTTCAGCAGTCCTATGGCTTGGGGTAGAAGCTGGTTGCAGCCTGAACACAGAACTAAAGATTTTACATTAAGACAATTCAAACATTTTAACAAGCAAAGTAGACAGAATGAATACCTGACAGGTAATGCGTTTTAACAGTCAGTGGGATTATCTGTCTAGTCATGGTTAATTGCGCGACCTTAAGTGATGGATTCACTTTCCGTTCAGTGATGGCTCTGTACAATTGTCCTTGATCTGGGGGGTATTAGATGTCCTGAACTTGCCTGTTTGGTTAAGTTTGTTAGTATACACACTGGTCTGAAATACTGGATACTAATTTGCTTTAAACGCGAAGCCATGAGAGATGACGCATACGGTTGACATTCATATAGATGGAGCAATGAATATCTAATCTGGCAGCCCTGTTGAGTGGGCTGGCCAGCTGTCGCTGAAGCTGTACCCTCTTTGTAGCCTTCACTCAGTCATGCTACACCCTTTTGGAGGCTAAGGCGGAACACACCAACGCAGACATGTTGATCAGCCTGTTATGGTGTGGGAGTCAACTGAGGAAAAGGGAGGCGGGTGTATGAAACCAGAAGGAGAGATGGGTAGGTAAGCGGGAAGTGCTGAAAGACGTGAAGTGGATGGGGCTGGGTAGGAGGGCAGACTATTGAAAAGGAGAATGGGTAAGGAGTGGTAACAGGGTTGATGAGGAGTGGGAGAAGGGCACCTATTGCTTGTTTCGTCCTGTATCCTGCTAGTGTTTCAGTGCTGGGTCTGAGTAACGGACAAGACAGACTGTAGACCGACAGTATAACCTCTGATGGGGCATTAGGCCTCCCCCTCACACGCTTCCATTCGAACACACACTTCACCTCCTACACTATGAAAGACACACTTCACCAATGTGCTATACTGACACACAGGAACCTATCAAGTGTAGACTTACACACACTGCAAGCACGAACCCTCAAACGTGGCCTACAGTTACACCCACACACATGCATCCTTTGACACTGCTGACAGAGTTCCACGAACACACACTTCAGTCATTCCGTTCATCTTGATCATACAATGCAGTCTCATTTGTCCTAGATAAAGTATGTGGTTTTAAGCGCAACCATAGACTTAGATGGACTCATCTTTGTATCTGTCCCAGTATGACGTCTGTGAGAGCACGGCAGGGCCGTTGAGGCAGTCTCCATTTTGAACTAGTCAATGTTCTACTACTATGAGTTGGTAAACAAACTAAAAGGGTGCATACTGCCACCTGGAATGTCTTTGAACAGGTATAAAGCCAAGGTTGGCGATTTACTGCCACCTGCAGTTATGGAATGTTTGCTCACAGTGTAATGAATTGGCTGATCCCTCCTGATGACCTGGATGGAATCATGTGATCCTTCCTTAAACTATAGGATGTCCCACCCAGTTGACTACTTCAAGAATAGTGGTTGCCCGGGCAATGTCCATGCAAAAACTGGTTGTTTCCAAGTAGGGAACTCTATCCATCTCTATGGTTGCCCTCATTGAGATGGAAGGGCAACTTATACATTGGTAGAATCTGAATTGCATTTCCTTGATTCCTCGCCTCAACCCATTGGATGAGGTCAGATACGGAGGGACTGCTGACCTTCACATCCAATGGGTTTTGAGAAGGAGAGGATGCGATGAATCAAGGAAATGCAATTGAGATTCTCCCCTTGAGCTCAAGTTCATCCTGATGAAGGGATGACACGGACCATTAGTTTACGGTTGAGAGCCCTCTGCTGGTCTCACTGTGTCAATACCATCATCTACTCAGTGCTCAATGACCACAGAACTGCAAGGAGAAATGGAGCCTCTGAACTAAAGAAAGAATCACAACGGATCACCATGTTCAAGTCACAGTAGCCAACATGGGAGATGTAACTACATAGCAGATTGGTACACACATCTTTGGCAAATTGATCACGCAATAACACATTTTCAAATGATACCTTTTTAGGTACAATATTCCAATGGGGCGAACAGGTTATGGTGGAATAACAGTTCAGGGGTTGAGGTGAGTAACATTGATTAAGCAAGTCCTCTCCCTTAAGTACAGAGGAGCTTGAGTCACGATGTGTCATTAATCACTATGAGTCATAGCAGCTAGTCACGCATAAAGCAGGGTGTTGAGATACTTTATCTACGCCGCTATTTTAGGAGCACTGCACGTGGTGCTAATATTAAGCAAATATTAATCACACTGTGTCCTAATTAGAGTACTGTTGACATTTCCATCGGTTTCTCAGGATTCCTGCAGCTGCTGCATTATCACTAAAACCAGATTTCACCTTATATTTGATCTTCAATGTTACACTCCTTGCAGATGTAGAATATAAAAGCACAGAAATGTCTATTGCAGCCTATTGAATTAAATCTGATTTCATTTGAGGTACAAAAAACATCAAGGTGTGTATTTGATCCCAAATGGAAAACATTAAATCATTAATCAAAACTCTTATTTCCAAAGTTGGCCTGAGTAAGCTACTGAGTGGTCTGTCAGAATAGATATGAAGGCAGGGTTCATTGCAGTCTGATTTATATATTGTAGCACTTAAACATGTTACAATAGGCCCTACATGGAAGCCTAAGGAAGATATTCTAGTCCGCCTCAAAGCTAGGTCTACGTAAAAGAAAGTTGCCGCAACTTGTTTTTCACAGAGTAGGCCTACATAGATCTACTGTTCAGTTGCATAAACGTTGTGATCAGAACCTGCATGTCTATCTATAAGAAGCCAAGAGCAGTGAGATAAAGTATGCAAATAGGAAGATAAAGTATGCAAATAGGACAGGAACATAATGGACACCAGAGGAGGCTGGTGGACGGAGCTATAGGAGGACAGGGGGGTGGGGGGTCAGGGATGGATAGTTGCCTTTCTCTGAAGCCCTTGGTAGTGAACTTTGATCTGTTTCACTCTGTGATTA